TGAATGTCTTTCCCAGTGGTTGTCCAGAGCTGATAATGTTGACAGTAAAGGAGGAGTTACCTTTGACTCACTGTCAGATGCTCTTAAATCTATGAATGAGAATGCTGCAGCTGACAATTTAGATCAAAAGAGTATGTTAATATCACTGATTGTATTAGTATTGCTGTGTATGTGTATTCTATAGAACGTAAAGCTAAGGCTATTGATATATTCAACACTCATCATCCACTCCTCTCTCAGTCTCTCTCTGATCCTGTCAGTGTGGCTATTATGCTTCAAAGAGAGGGTGTCATAACAGGACAAGTATTGGCTAGAGTGGAATCAGCTAGTCCCTCTGTTCCTAATCAACGTGAAGTACTGTTAGCTGCCATTATAGTAGCTATTGAAACCAAGTATAGTTTACTACAAACATTTGCTAGTGTGTTATGCATGTTCACTGGTAATGTAAAACTAGGAACAGTTATAGAAAGAGACTATGGTGAGGCTATTACATTTCACATAATAGCTGTTCAAAATTTGTTTTATAGACCAATCTTTTAATGATAATAAGAAGGTTATTAAAGTTGTTATTCCTGAAGATGATATGAGCACTGATACAATAAACACTGGAACAACTGCACTATCACCTACTCTGCCTAATACACCAACTGGTAGGTATAATATTATTAATAATAAAACTGCAATTAATTTTATTTTTAATAGTTGAGATAGCCATTCCTCAATGCATGAGTGATGAATTCACTTCAATACAAACGTCTTATGGTCGAATGTTGTACAATGTTCGTAAAATAATGAAAAACAAGCCACCACCAATAGATGATATAAAGGAATATCTTTGTTGCTGTCGGAGCAGTCTTGAACCAAAGCTGTCTTTGTGTTCCAATATCACTGAAATATTACGAGTAGTAGAGAAAGAGTGTTCATTGATCAATATTAAACTGCTTCAATCATTAATTGAAGAATTCAAAATCAAAAAAGCTGAAAAATACATTACAGAATACAAAGCCATATTAAAAGAGTTTTGTCACACAGTAAAGATTACTCTTTGCTTAAATGAAAAGTTTGAAGCATTAGGAGGTAGCCCTTCTCTTCAATGTGAAACAGGTACGTATGTCTTTGACTGGGAACCAGATGAACACATGCTACAAGATATCAAGCAAATCATTTCGAAGACGTCTGGTAAACTAGTGAAAATAAAATACATCAAGAAAGGAAACTCTATCATTGTCACCTGCTCCTTCCCTCACTTTCTCACTGAAGCTCTCATTATACAATTGAGTGAGAATCTTGACTTATTAATGAAGAGTGGTCTAATGAAGCTTACTGTTGGATACTGCACAATATGGAAGAAACAAAAGATACAAGTATATATACTTTCAGTAGTTATCATTTTATACTGTATTATAAAGGAAATACAGGAACCACTCAAAGAGGATTTACAGGAGATAGAGGAACAACCTCATGATACAAAAGTATAGTAATTTTTGTTTGATTATTTATTATTATAATCAATAGAGACAGAAAGAACTTAAAGAAACTGCACTACAACTAACAAACATACTTAGTGATAAAGAAAAGGTACTTGTTTCATGTATAGGAAAGCTGGAGTGTGTTGATACTATGAATAGTGTAGCTTATGAATCACTGTATGTTTTATTATTAAAAATGTGCATGTAGGAGTTGAATAAAATCATGAAAAAAATACAAGAATTGTCATCACAGAAGAAAACTCAGGTAATTATTATCAAACATTCTGTGTAGCATAATTATAGTAAATTGTTTTGTGGAATTTATCACCAATTTTTAGTTATTGTTGATAATAAAGTGTTGATCAGAATTAGTTATTAGTTTATAGTGTAATTCTTTGCTACTGATAGGAGGATCAAAATGAAGAGGAATGTACACTAGTGGAATTAAAGGAAGTAAAAGAAGCAACCAATGAGTTGGAAGAAAAACTACAAAGTAATTATAATAGTACCTAACATTGGTAGAGGGAGTATCATGTACAATGTCAATAAAATCCAAAATGTAATAGTAACTATTGAAATGACTCATAATGAGTGATCCACTTGTCACCTTCATATGATGTAAAATGTTCATTGTATTGATTATTTTAGGAATGAAAAAAGAATATCACATTAAATGTCGTACATATTCTACTTCAAGTCAGAGAAATTTGTTATTTTATTATTTTATTGTTATTGTTATTGCAGCATCATACAAAATCATAAAGGGAATGAGAATGGAAATAGAACAAATATTAACAAATAAAACTGGTACTGAATCATAATGTATGTGTTAGTGTATTATAATTATAATATGATAGGTTCACTGGATCAAAATGAATCA